ACTGTGACACACCCGCATCTGCGCTGACTCGCCGTCTAGCGTTTTGATGCTCCCTAGCCTGCAGGCAAAGACCAAAAGCTGGCTTGTCGCGTGCCCCCGACTTCAAAAACCATTCATCAATAAGCACGTAGATTCTTGAGGTAAAACACACTATCTGGCACAATTGGATAATTCATGCTTGCCTGAAAGCGCGCAAATGCTGTGTTAATTTTCTCCCCACAACACTAGCTCATAGAGCGTTACAAATGCTCGGAGACGGCGTGGTATCTTCAACGTCGTAATGATCCTAGTGCGAGCTCTACTGCAGTGCTAAAAAATTAGCGTTTTGGCACAGCCTGACCTCCGCTGAGGCGACGCACTTGCTGGAGCAATCGAGAGCGTTTTCTGATGCCTTACTAGCATGTTCACAGTCACCCAACAATGTTGCTGCGCTGAACATTATACGCGTGAGGCCTACCCTAATATATATTCACGCTCATGATGTTGTCTACATCAGGCTTTCTTGGTAGATGGCGTTGATGCCTTTTGACGTTCAGTATTCATTTGCAGGATTGAAATATCTAACCGCACATGATCTCATGCATTTAGTCATTTGATATGCAAGCACAGCTTTCACCAATTCCATCTAATATGGAACCAGGACACTTAAAATTCATGTTCACTCTTTCTAAACTATCTAAAAACATTGACAGGCAATTAGGGTCAAGCAAGTTTCTGTGAAAGCACGCGTACACTCTAGAAATGCGGAACACGGTTCAGCCTGATGAGTTGAGGGCCCTAGACAGTGTTCTATTTATCGCGGGACTTTCTGTGGACGTTTGAATTTAGAAATACAACGAACGTGACTGCATGGGTTTGTTCATTAGTGGAGCTGGTGTTGTGGCGCTCAAAATTACATGAAATCTGGTGCGAGTGAGCACTTATTTGCGCAAAAAATAAGGCATCAGATAACATTCAACTGTTTGAAAAAATTTGTGAATATGCATCACCACGGGAAATCCTGTTCAATGCGTCATCAATTCGCCCATCGAGAAATTGGCAAATTGTGTCGACCTGCATGTAAAACCGACTTTCAGCGCATCCTCAGGCATAGCTACACGCGCATGGGCTGTCCCAAGAATATAAGTGAACACAGCTGGTCAGCACAGCTCAAGACAAAATGCAACTGTCATGAGCGTTTGTCCATACTTGCACGGCTAGATATGAAAAGAAACTTCTAGCTTGATAAAGAGACTCACGCCCTAAATACGCAAGGCTGAAACACGACAGAAGGATATATGCCACAAAATGAGACGGAGTTAGCCGCTGATTGCGCAGCAAAGAGGTGCAACACTGCTCCGGTATACAGGAAACTCTTCCAGCTTGCAACTAAGCTAAGGAATGACACGAAATTGAAAGCATAATCGTCTAAACAATTGCCGACGCAAATTCTGCAGGCGAGGCTACAACCTGTCAGTTCCGTCATGCTTGTAAACCCACGACATGTGTACCCAATACATCTTTGTTTATGCCGTCTGGGATCTGTTTAGGCAGTACGCGGAACCGTTACATCCGGCAATCCAATCAAGTACCAACATACACATGAAAGGCAAGCGCAGTGTCCTCTTTCCTCATGAACTCACAGGGAAGCGCATTTCTAGTCATCCAGATGTACCGCGGTGCCATACACTTAAGTGGCAACATCGAACCTTCATCGCCGTAATCTGAGCTCTGTGATATTGTGGAAAGATTTCAGCATGTGCTTTTCCATATTTTCTTTGCATTACGTCCCCGCCAAGCTGCAGTGCTCGGTGTACAGCTCACAGAGTATTTATAACTGGTGGAAAAGATTTGTTATTCCAGTGGTCGTGCTTGGTTCGCGACTGGTCGGCTGAATTTCAAGCAAAAGAATGCTACGTGAAGATTCGTTCCAACAAAACTTCGTATGAATGCTCTATACTTCTTCCGGGCGCCAGTGGTTTATTAAACATGCCCTCATTAGGCGCACTTCCTGTAGCAATCAGCGCAGCAACGTAGGGGCTCTCTCTCACAAAACATCGTCAATCCTGTCCGTATCTAAAAGTACGGTATCGCAGGAGAAACTGCAAGCGTAACATTTGAAGAGAATGATCTAGATGCCAACCAATATGCCCAATTTACGCACTTGCACACAAATGCAAGCAAGAAGTATCAATTAAAGAATGAAACGACACGACGTTCCACGCCCTTGCATACACGTTGACGCAGACCGATTCGGATTCAAACAACGCCTCTCCAAATCATGTAAAATAATCAATAAAAATTTTTAATAATAAAGAAAAAACTAATTTTTGCAGCTCTGACACAAAAGAGGTATTGAAAAAGTTGCAAGTGATCGATGCACCCAGGCCGTGTGTGATTGAATGTATGGCGTAGTGATCTTGCACGTTGGATTCGTGCTGAATCTTTTAGAATAAAATTGCGTATATCGGGTTGTAATCCACATCCGCATTTTCTCAGTCATGCCATGAACGTTGCATTTAAAAGCAGCTGCCACGCAACAAGGCACAAATAGTCAGCTCCTTATTTTTTAATACACATAGCGATCCGGAAAGCATTGTAAGTGCGATGAAGCTATCCTTGATCTCAAAGTATCGCATCTGTAGCTGACTACAGGAGGTTAAAGCAAACGGCATCCATAGACGATGGTCGCATGCCTGAAAGGAATACTCGAGCAAAATGCTTGTAGACATCCTTGTAGGGATATTTACTCCGTCAACACACTTCCTTTAAGAGTTAGAAGCGCGACCTGAAGCCCTCTAAAGTCGTCAAGACCTGTTACCTGCTGATCTGTGGCTCTTACAGCTTGTCACAACGAATCCTGCACTGGCCGCCTTCCTAAAATAGTCCTGGTGTTTCGTTTGTATGCTGTTTGGTCCATCTGGTGCTCACGTAAGCGTCAAAATCAATGCAAAGAAAAACGCGGATACAGAACAGAAACAGCAGCTGGGTTTTCGACGTAGAAGCTAGCATTTTGCGTTCACGTGACAACCGTGCAGGCATTACATTCACGCGAACAACGAACGACGTCATTCTGCTCACGTTTGCTTGCAGCATGTGCTATTTGCTAGTGGGCGCCTTGACGCTAAATCAGACAGATGGAGGAAAAAATAAGCATAGCGCACTGTGGCGTAATAACGCGTTGCGCTGCGAAGTCGCCTACCAATGACATCAGCTGTGAATCCACAAATCGTCCAACGCTGTCACATTACCAGCAAATCCTGATAGCGAAAAGCTCAAGCAGTCTCGGCACGCATTTGACAGAGTGTCAATCTGCATCTGGAGTGCTAAAAAAACACTGGCGCACGTTTTACGGCTACAGTTTGCTGATAGACTGAACAAAGTCACTTTCACTGTGCACAACCCTACGTGCACAAGCTGAACAAGATATTGAAAAACCCCAATCCACTGGTGCCCAAATGCGTCTGCAAATGCATACGTTTTGCTCGCTGAATATGATGCCTTTCCAAAGCATATTTCCATAAATGAAAAGGTGTATTGCCGTGATATTTTCTGTAACATTTTGCCCTTCGAATCATCGCATCAGTGAACAATGCGTGTACTGCAGCAAGTAAATGCTATACTTTTGAGCTAGTTCATTTGATGAAAGCACTCAAAGACGTAACGAAGGTTTTCATAAAAATCGGAATTTGTCTCGAATAATCGTGCAATTGCTGACAGTGTGTTTCAATAAAGTTCTCAGTAAGCTTTATGCGCACTTCCGTGAGCAGCAAGAAGATATAGACTCAGCTACAATTAATTAAAATGACACTGAAAGCCTATTACATGCTGTTGCAACTATTTTCTGCCGTTACGCATCGACGCAGGGTTGCTGTTGGTACACTAGGAGGAGAACGGGCTTTCTGGAGAGCGAAGTTCGGGGAACAGCTTCATTCAGTTGTGATCACTGATGGCCTTTTAACACTGCAAACCCACAAGCTGGCAGTGCTCAACCGACTGTGACAGGTCTACTTTGCAACACGCATGCTTGCTTGAGTGTTCAGCTCCAGCTTCGTGTGAACTGCCTTTCTATGCAGCAGATATACATGTACGAGCACAGCAAAACAAACAGAAAGTTGACGAAAAACTCATTTTTACGCATCCCCACATAAGTTCAAAAGCGCAAAGACGTGGCCGCTTTAGAAAACAAATTCCTACGTTTTGACCATAAAGTTAAGCCACCTAGCATCAAAAGAGTACTAATGCTGCGAGGGGCTGTTACTGTGCTCTTGCACTTGATGTGTAAGTATAAAATGCTCGACCAGGCGCCAAATTCGCAATGCGCAAGTCTTCACAATGGATCCATATATAGCCAGTGTTCTGTGGAGGACGCGCGTTGTTTTTGACCCAGTGTTGTTTACTTTCGATGCTCAAAACAAACATATTCGGCGCAGCAGGTACGTACGGTTTATGCTACTCAAGATTAAAATTGAGGATGGCACTGCGACATATCTGAACCTACAAACTGTTAGCCCCAGAACAGCTTATGATCAGTGTTGTTTCTGGGTTTCTCTAAGAAATATTTTCACACTTCTCTGCAGCATAATTTCGCAGTGCTCGCAGACATACTGCATGCATGAAACGTAGAATAAAGCCCCACCACGATACGGCGCAAGATATCATCACAAATCATGGGACGTCACAGCAGAAATGAAGTAACAGATATCCTATAAGATAGCAGACATCTCCAATTCTTTATTAAGCACTGCTCACAGACATTCGAACATTTTGAGGAACTGAATGCTTCACTACTGAAGTTTTTAGTCAGCAGCAGAGACAGCCCAATTAACCACCTTATGCACACGTAACTCACAGACTTCGGCTATATACAAACCCTCCCTCAAACCCTCAAACAGATAAGTCTCATCACCAAATTAGTTTGTGCTCCTCGCCTTCCTGCCGAAACATACAAAACAACGCTTTGCATAGCCACCTTCTACACTCGCTTCAAACCTCACCCCAGCCAAATTCCACGCCATCTAATGGCGGCCACCCTGCCCTCATCATCTCGACACAATCCTCCGAAAAATCCTCACACTCCGCCACTCCACAAAATACTCCGACGCAGTCCCGACACCAAACTCCGCACACGCTCCAACGCCACCGCCCCACACCCAACACACACCACCACCCACGCACGTCCTCGCCCTACAGCCACCCTCACGACCCGCCCCTTCAACACAAACCCACTGTCTCCGCCTGCACGCAAGCTCTCCCGCACAAAACCCAAACGCTCCGCACCCCACAATCCGCCCCCTCTTCATCTGCGCGCTCACGGGCCTCTTCCCCTTCATCCATACCCTCCCTCCCACATCCAACCATCTATGCTCCCACCAAAACTGCCCCTTCTGCTTTCCAACCAGCACACACCCACTACTCACAACGTCCCCCAGGACTACCCAAGGCACAACACCGCCCACGCACTAACACCAACACCCAACAACCACGGTCCACTCGCCCTCCCCATCTCCACACAACCCTCCAACAAACCCTCACACTCCGCCACTCCACAAAATACTCCGACGCAGTCCCGACGCCAAACTCCGCACACGCTCCAACGCCACCGCCCCACACCCAACACACACCACCACCCACGCACGTCCTCGCCCTACACCCGCCCTCACGACCCGCTCCTTCAACACAAACCCACTGTCTCCGCCTGCACGCAAGCTCTCCCGCACAAAACCCAAACGCTCCGCACCCCACAATCCGCCCCCTCTTCATCTACGCGCTCACGGCCCTCTTCCCCTTCATCCATACCCTCCCTCCCACACCCAACCATCTATGCTCCCACCAAAACTGCCCCTTCTGCTTTCCAACCAGCACACACCCACTACTCACAACGTCCCCCAGGACTACCCAAGGCACAACACCGCCCACGCACTAACACCAACACCCAACAACCACGGTCCACTCGCCCTCCCCATCTCCACACAACCCTCCAACAAACCCTCACACTCCGCCACTCCACAAAATACTCCGACGCAGTCCCGACGCCAAACTCCGCACACGCTCCAACGCCACCGCCCCACACCCAACACACACCACCACCCACGCACGTCCTCGCCCTACACCCACCCTCACGACCCGCCCCTTCAACACAAACCCACTGTCTCCGCCTGCACGCAAGCTCTCCCGCACAAATCCCAAACGCTCCGCACCCCACAATCCGCCCCCTCTTCATCTACGCGCTCACGGCCCTCTTCCCCTTCATCCATACCCTCCCTCCCACATCCAACCATCTATGCTCCCACCAAAACTGCCCCTTCTGCTTTCCAACCAGCACACACCCACTACTCACAACGTCCCCCAGGACTACCCAAGGCACAACACCGCCCACGCACTAACACCAACACCCAACAACCACGGTCCACTCGCCCTCCCCATCTCCACACAACCCTCCAACAAACCCTCACACTCCGCCACTCCACAAAATACTCCGACGCAGTCCCGACGCCAAACTCCGCACACGCTCCAACGCCACCGCCCCACACCCAACACACAACACACACCACCACCCACGCACGTCCTCGCCCTACACCCACCCTCACGACCCGCTCCTTCAACACAAACCCACTGTCTCCGCCTGCACGCAAGCTCTCCCGCACAAAACCCAAACGCTCCGCACCCCACAATCCGCCCCCTCTTCATCTACGCGCTCACGGGCCTCTTCCCCTTCATCCATACCCTCCCTCCCACATCCAACCGATCTATGCTCCCACCAAAACTGCCCCTTCTGCTTTCCAACCAGCACACACCCACTACTCACAACGTCCCCCAGGACTACCCAAGGCACAACACCGCCCACGCACTAACACCAACACCCAACAACCACGGTCCACTCGCCCTCCCCATCTCCGCACAACCCTCCAACAAACCCTCACACTCCGCCACTCCACAAAATACTCCGACGCAGTCCCGACGCCAAACTCCGCACACGCTCCAACGCCACCGCCCCACACCCAACACACACCACCACCCACGCACGTCCTCGCCCTACACCCACCCTCACGACCCGCCCCTTCAACACAAACCCACTGTCTCCGCCTGCACGCAAGCTCTCCCGCACAAAACCCAAACGCTCCGCACCCCACAATCCGCCCCCTCTTCATCTACGCGCTCACGGCCCTCTTCCCCTTCATCCATACCCTCCCTCCCACACCCAACCATCTATGCTCCCACCAAAACTGCCCCTTCTGCTTTCCAACCAGCTCGCACCCACTACTCACAACGTCCCCCAGGACTACCCAAGGCACAACACCGCCCACGCACTAACACCAACACCCAACAACCACGGTCCACTCGCCCTCCCCATCTCCGCACAACCCTCCAACAAACCCTCACACTCCGCCACTCCACAAAATACTCCGACGCAGTCCCGACGCCAAACTCCGCACACGCTCCAACGCCACCGCCCCACACCCAACACACACCACCACCCACGCACGTCCTCGCCCTACACCCACCCTCACGACCCGCTCCTTCAACACAAACCCACTGTCTCCGCCTGCACGCAAGCTCTCCCGCACAAAACCCAAACGCTCCGCACCCCACAATCCGCCCCCTCTTCATCTACGCGCTCACGGCCCTCTTCCCCTTAATCCATACCCTCCCTCCCACATCCAACCATCTATGCTTCCACCAAAAATGCCCCTTCTGCTTTCCAACCAGCACACACCCACTACTCACAACGTCCCCCAGGACTACCCAAGGCACAACACCGCCCACGCACTAACACCAACACCCAACAACCACGGTCCACTCGCCCTCCCCATCTCCACACAACCCTCCAACAAACCCTCACACTCGCCACTCCACAAAATACTCCGACGCAGTCCCGACGCCAAACTCCGCACACGCTCCAACGCCACCGCCCCACACCCAACACACACCACCACCCACGCACGTCCTCGCCCTACACCCACCCTCACGACCCGCTCCTTCAACATAAACCCACTGTCTCCGCCTGCACGCAAGCTCTCCCGCACAAAACCCAAACGCTCCGCACCCCACAATCTGCCCCCTCTTCATCTACGCGCTCACGGGCCTCTTCCCCTTCATCCATACCCTCCCTCCCACACCCAACCATCTATGCTCCCACCAAAACTGCCCCTTCTGCTTTCCAACCAGCACACACCCACTACTCACAACGTCCCCCAGGACTACCCAAGGCACAACACCGCCCACGCACTAACACCAACACCCAACAACCACGGTCCACTCGCCCTCCCCATCTCCGCACAACCCTCCAACAAACCCTCACACTCCGCCACTCCACAAAATACTCCGACGCAGTCCCGACGCCAAACTCCGCACACGCTCCAACGCCACCGCCCCACGCCCAATACACAACACACACCACCACCCACGCACGTCCTCGCCCTACACCCACCCTCACGACCCGCTCCTTCAACACAAACCCACTGTCTCCGCCTGCACGCAAGCTCTCCCGCACAAAACCCAAACGCTCCGCACCCCACAATCCGCCCCCTCTTCATCTACGCGCTCACGGCCCTCTTCCCCTTCATCCATACCCTCCCTCCCACACCCAACCATCTATGCTCCCACCAAAACTGCCCCTTCTGCTTTCCAACCAGCACACACCCACTACTCACAACGCCCCCCAGGACTACCCAAGGCACAACACCGCCCACGCACTAACACCAACACCCAACAACCACGGTCCACTCGCCCTCCCCATCTCCACACAACCCTCCAACAAACCCTCACACTCCGCCACTCCACAAAATACTCCGACGCAGTCCCGACGCCAAACTCCGCACACGCTCCAACGCCACCGCCCCACACCCAACACACACCACCACCCACGCACGTCCTCGCCCTACACCCGCCCTCACGACCCGCTCCTTCAACACAAACCCACTGTCTCCGCCTGCACGCAAGCTCTCCCGCACAAAACCCAAACGCTCCGCACCCCACAATCCGCCCCCTCTTCATCTACGCGCTCACGGCCCTCTTCCCCTTCATCCATACCCTCCCTCCCACACCCAACCATCTATGCTCCCACCAAAACTGCCCCTTCTGCTTTCCAACCAGCACACACCCACTACTCACAACGTCCCCCATGACTACCCAAGGCACAACACCGCCCACGCACTAACACCAACACCCAACAACCACGGTCCACTCGCCCTCCCCATCTCCGCACAACCCTCCAACAAACCCTCACACTCCGCCACTCCACAAAATACTCCGACGCAGTCCCGACGCCAAACTCCGCACACGTTCCAACGCCACCACCCCACACCCAACACACACCACCACCCACGCACGTCCTCGCCCTACACCCGCCCTCACGACCCGCTCCTTCAACACAAACCCACTGTCTCCGCCTGCACGCAAGCTCTCCCGCACAAAACCCAAACGCTCCGCACCCCACAATCCGCCCCCTCTTCATCTACGCGCTCACGGCCCTCTTCCCCTTCATCCATACCCTCCCTCCCACATCCAACCATCTATGCTCCCACCAAAACTGCCCCTTCTGCTTTCCAACCAGCACACACCCACTACTCACAACGTCCCCCAGGACTACCCAAGGCACAACACCGCCCACGCACTAACACCAACACCCAACAACCACGGTCCACTCGCCCTCCCCATCTCCACACAACCCTCCAACAAACCCTCACACTCCGCCACTCCACAAAATACTCCGACGCAGTCCCGACGCCAAACTCCGCACACGCTCCAACGCCACCGCCCCACACCCAACACACACCACCACCCACGCACGTCCTCGCCCTACACCCACCCTCACGACCCGCCCCTTCAACATAAACCCACGGTCTCCGCCTGCACGCAAGCTCTCCCGCACAAAACCCAAACGCTCCGCACCCCACAATCTGCCCCCTCTTCATCTACGCGCTCACGGCCCTCTTCCCCTACATCCATACCCTCCCTCCCACACCCAACCATCTATGCTCCCACCAAAACTGCCCCTTCTGCTTTCCAACCAGCACACACCCACTACTCACAACGTCCCCCAGGACTACCCAAGGCACAACACCGCCCACGCACTAACACCAACACCCAACAACCACGGTCCACTCGCCCTCCCCATCTCCACACAACCCTCCAACAAACCCTCACACTCCGCCACTCCACAAAATACTCCGACGCAGTCCCGACGCCAAACTCCGCACACGCTCCAACGCCACCGCCCCACACCCAACACACACCACCACCCACGCACGTCCTCGCCCTACACCCACCCTCACGACCCGCTCCTTCAACACAAACTCACTGTCTCCGCCTGCACGCAAGCTCTCCCGCACAAAACCCAAACGCTTTGCACCCCTAAATCCGCCTCTTTTTTGTTTCACGCTGCATAGGCGACAGGAATTAAAGCAAAGTACGCGCCGTCCCCTGCACTGCTTCGAGTACTTTAATGGCATCGCTACTTGCAGCTCTCACGCTAGCGACCTGCAAAAATACGCATAGGCTGTGAAATCGCGCATGTCACGTCATCCACAAGTCACCACACGTGTGCAGCTCCCTCAACATTTAAAGGTTCCGCTGCTGATGACGTCTTGTCTGCCCTTTAGTGCAGAGATATACCATGCAAAATCCAGCGGCCGCACGCCCTCGCGGCTGGGCCGAAGCAGGTGCAACCATTGCATCCCGGCCCCTGAAATCCGCACAAATGATCAAAGATAGCCACGCGTCGGCAGCAACACCAAAGATGCCCAACGTGACTCTAATGGTTGGCCTGTTTGTGCTGAGCGTGCTGCATGACATAGCATTTAGCCAGCTGGCTGCTCCTAGGAACTCCTGTGGCCACGGTGTCAGAAATTGATGCACAGGCAGAACCAGCACAAGGGGAGAGTTTTCTTGATGCTGGCATGCAGCTTTTTCAATTATAATGGACACGCTGGCCTGCAACGTTACTCTCATTCAAAAGCGCAGCAGCCCTTGCTATCTAGCCGAACAGCAATGTTCAGTGTCTCCGTTTGTAAGTGCGTCGAGATTATCGCGTCCCCCTGAGCCACTTACCTCCTGCAACTTTCGCTACTAACTCTGGCTCTTCTTTCTTGGGCGTAGTGGTGCGACAACTTTGACATATTGCTGATCTATCAGCAGATGATATGCCTTCCAACTACACCCAAAAAGCAGATGTGTCGCCTCGGCAATCTGTTTCAAAGCGGGCTGCTTTGTGGTTGTATTGCCGGTCACCAGCGGTCTAGCAGCTGTATCACAGCCTGTATAGTGCGTGCCACTAGTACGCAAGAGTTGCGCACTTCAAAACCTCCAGAGAAATTCGGTATGTCTACACTCTAAGACTCTACTGGCGTGCTAGTATATAAGAAATCTTTTGTTATATGCCCGCTAACGGAACTGCATGTAATTGGTAGACATCTACAGCTCATTGCGCACCGAGCAACAGTCGGGGCTGCCTTTCCCAAAAATTCATGTGATGGTACGATTTTGCCGTGTAGCCAGTGCTCTGCTTGCAGTGCACAACCTAATGAAATCGAATGGACGCCCAGCGTCTACACCACAACTGTCATGTCGTGGCCATAACGACAAATTCTAACGCTATCAACGCAATCAGCTTCCTGCTAAAAGTGTCTCCGCAGAAGAACAAAAGTTTGGCAGTCCGTTTAAATACTGAACCGAGCACATGTGGTCTACTGGTAATGTGATTCTTTAATTGCACTCTTCGTTGGGTCACACTGAGCTCGTAATTCTTTCTCCTGAACGCAGCGTCTTGTAGTAATAAAGCATTGACGGACTTCCTGTTGAACATATTTTTGTCCTGGCACGAGCTCGTAAACAGATAGTGTACCTTTTCAATATACGCATTCCAATCAGTCAAAGTTAGCACAAAGAGGAATACCCTGCCCATTCTTTGCTGTTCCGGATTCTTGTGCACTAGCCTGTCAATAGTATGGAGCCGCGCACTGTACTTGCGGTAACTACCTCAAATATATGTGACTTCTCCGCGCGATGGTAGCACATCATAGTGGCTCTTGCACTCTGTTGCAGGACCACTAGAAGGGCCTTTTCCTTCGACCTTACCCTCCGGTAATCTCACTCTCCGCACGTCACTAAATCAGCGAGGCGTTTAAAGAACCGATGCCTCTTTGAGCGTTCGCCAACGTGTACCACAATGCAGCAGCTGAAATATACGGCTCTGGAACTGAGGTCCTGTACAGCACCAGACTCAATTGTCGTCGTTGGTCGCACAAGACGCCTGCTCATGAGTCGAAAAAATCCAACATAGCCTTAGGCGTATTTCACTTTTCGACAGAAACTATTTTCAACACGAAGGCGAGGCTTCTCAGCCGAGCGCTGCATAACTTTTGCAACAAATATTGCGGAACACTGGCGTTCACCCTTCCATGCGCAGCGGCATGGTACCACGCTCTGCTGGTACTGCTGTGCAAGACAACTATATGCAAAAAAAGCGAAAAAGAGAGTGCGTATTTCACGCGTCAATATGGACAAATGCGAAGCCCCCAAGTCATGTGCTCCCAGCAGCAAAGTGGAACCTGAACTGTCATGCTGCGGTTCTGTTGTAGTTCGACCTGTGACACTTCGAGCTCTTTCTTCGCCTGGGTACGCCCAGAAATATTGAGTGCATGAATAGTCTACTTCGCCAAGAAAGCCTGAGCTCCTTAGCTGTCTGTTGCACAGAGGTCTTGTCTCCCGATTGAGAGCTCTGTTCGGTCGCGTGCATTAAAGGGTTCCTTTTCATTCGCTGCGTTTTGCTAGCTTTGTCTGGTTGCTGTAGTAAGTATAGAGTACAGCAACGCAGCATACATGGAATACTGTACAGTGGGCACAATTTCACGCCAGGCCAGGCCGCCGCGCCACACCGTATTGGGGCGCGATATGCACTTCTTAAACAAGAACGTACAGCGCAAAGGTTGGGGCTGTTTGTTGAAAGCCTCCGCTTGATTGTTGGAGTTCTTTTCCTGGTTTTGAGAGCGGCAAGACATTGAAATATCATAAATGAAATGGCAAGTGATAGGACTAGCAGGGATCCAGCAATGGCAGCTGTATGTGCGGGTTCGCCCCTTTTTCCCACTGCAGGTTTGACCGAAGCGGTACCTACAGATTCCCTCTGCACTTCAGAAAAGCGGATATTAGCATTCGCTGCCCCAGGACCGCCGTTTGCGCCTCCTGGAAGCGACAAGAAGTCGCTAAGAAACCGCCCTGTTTCACTCATTGTGATAAACAGAGCAGAAGAATGTTACCCTTGGACAAAAAGATGGCATTTAAACTAGCCTGAGATCGAAACATAAGCTAAGCTTGTTGTCATAGAGGTGGGGCTGGCTATATGAGCAAAGTTTTCCAGTTGCATGAGATCACGAGTATTCCATAACCTCATTGATTATGCATAGTTCTTGCTATCAACAAGCAGTAATCAAAGTACAAAAATATGTTTGATAGATCTGCCTTAAATCAACTCAGCTAAATTTGCATATGCAGTCAGTCTACGAGTAACCTGGGCAAGGTTGGGGTGAGCTGCGTACTATTGTAGAAAGATTCTTGTTCCCATTGCAATCAGCTGCCCCCCTTAAGTAGTCGAAACTATTTATACACTGTTTATTGTCTTTCAAGCTTGTTCCTTCTTTGGGTTGTTGAATCTACGGCTGTAGTTGGAGTCTCGTGGCATTGCCCACTCCTGCTCGTTATCAGGGAATTGGAGGAATCGCACAAATGCTCATTGAGTAAGAATGGATAGTATAGCTCCCCCCGTTGAAACTGTGTCACAAAAGAGTAATTGGGGAGGTATGTGCGTCAAGGATGGCAAGTGAATTACAACATGGAGCCACGAAGATGGGTCATACAGACATGAGGATGCACCGCAACGTCGGGATGTTTCACAGGCATCACGGCAAGTTCGATTTTGCCCCAAGCGAAGAGACATTTCCTCTACACTTTTGACACATAAAACAACAGAAAAGTCGGTTATGAAATTTGTAATATTAATAGCGCTCTTTGGACGTTTTTGTGGACATTGTAACTGCGTGGAACAGATGGCCCGATGCCGTGATCGGCTGCAGACACGCTGCGCAACCCTCGAGCCAAGATGCACTAAGAGAGATGCAACGCAGCTTCT